GACGCAAATTATTGGGAAAGATTCAGGAGTTTAAACACAAGGTGTGCGGGCAGAGTAATTGAGTAATAAATCACCGGAATTCTGACTGATGCAAGTTACTGAAATAAGAACGTCGGTTAAGAGGCAAATGATTTATAAATTTGCAAAAGACTTTTCAACTTGCCAGAATTTGGTTTTTTTTGTCAGACAAAGCCAGATAAAAGAAAGGAGGTCAGTCTGAGATGCACGTCCTTATGTATTAGAAAACACAGACGTGCCATTGTTAGATGGTTTAGAGCCTGCGGCCTCTCACAGATGGAGATGTTAGCATGACTTTGTGGGATGAAAGATATTGAATGTTTACATCCTGATATTATGCACAAAATTCAATCCTTTAATGACAGTACTCTTTTTCAGCCAAAAGAAGAAAATAAATCCTGTTACTGGAAATGGTGGAGAAAATGAAATGAGTCCAATAAAAAGCTCCCTAAAAACGAGGAACACTAGAGGGATTTCCCTGCAGTGCCAGCTCAATAACATTAATTTACAAATTAAGTTAAGTCCCTTGTACTGACGAAGGAAAACTGGCGTGAAGCACAACGGTTGCTTTTAATGCCATATCAGCTCTTTTTATTCACGTCAATCTAGGTGACATTAAGATGAGGCAGCAATTAGCCTTCTTCGGGCCCTCCATGAAAATTTAATTTAGCGCTCCATCCACTGTAGCCAAAACGCACATACCAGGAAACACTCAGCACCTCCGATCTGTATGGACAGATGGTGAGGGAAGCAAATGAACAGGTGTTGGTGAGTTCGGATGAAGCTTGTACGAGTTCAGGCAAAATTACTAGAGAGATGTGAAACAAAACTCTGACACAAACCTCGAGACTGAAATCCTATCAGATATCAAAACAGAGCAAGAGACGGCAGACATCTCACCAAAATTAAAGGGAATAGCAGAGAACATGAAGGCTTATGGAAATGCAACAAAGCCATGGGGTACAACAAACACCATCATACATCATAAATATCATAAATTACCCCAAGGCAGCACCAGCATAATACATGCTCAAAACAGATAGCAAGTACTGAAAAAGCATATAACAGACTGCACATTTGAATTTTTTTCTTGAACTCTCAGAGAAAATGGTCTTTCTATATGTCAATATATCCATTAATCAGAATGATGAAATTAATTATTGAAAATGCACAAATTAAAATGTAATCTTCATAAAAGTGCCATTATTAGAGGCTTTAAATTTACTATTACATTGTAGGATTGAGTTTTCTATTATTTAAGATAATCAGGATAGATTTAAAATCAAAATTGATTCCTTACCTGGGCAACTGGTAATTTGGTAATGCCTTGAAATGTTTTTTGAAATGCTAAGCAGATAACAAGCAACACAAATGTATTAAATATATATATTAATAATAATTTAAGATGCAGATGTCGGCTGATTAGCATGAGCCCCTGTTGGTAGATGCCATATAATTAGAGCATCTAGTATGCATTCAAAATTAAACAAACTAGTCATGCAGCAGCATAAACTCACACTGAAATCTGAAATGTGAACTGATATCTCCAGGTAATATAGAGATGTCTTAGGTCAATATATATATTAATAATAATTTAAGATGCAGATGTCGGCTGATTAGCATGAGCCCCTGTTGGTAGATGCCATATAATTAGAGCATCTAGTATGCATTCAAAATTAAACAAACTAGTCATGCAGCAGCATAAACTCACACTGAAATCTGAAATGTGAACTGATATCTCCAGGTAATATAGAGATGTCTTAGGTCACCATATCTTCAGAAGGCCACTTTCTAATTTCCTCCATGGGTGATGGGTGTCAACAATCACAGATGTTTTAACAATATTACAGCACCCTCTAGTGGCAAACTTAATAAGCACTTCTTAATATCAAACAGTGTGATAAAATATATTTTCCTGCTCTTCTCTTGTTGCTAGTAAATGCACTAATACCTTTATATTTCACGCTATTTGTCAGTGAGACACTCGTGCAGTTGTTACACTGCCCTTTATCAAATAAACACTCTCCGGGCTGTACTTGTGTGCTCATTTTGCCCTTGAATGCTGAAGAGGAAGGAACTCTCTGTCAGCCGATTTCCTGTTCACATTCACTGAAGAGGCCTGAGTGCCTTTGGCAATTCAGAGAGTCTCTTCATCTGAATTTCACAGCTCAATAGCAGCTGGGTCAGAAATTCTGTGAGGGGGGTTTGCCTGTGTGGCTGAGCAACCACAGACGTGAAAAAGATGAGAAATAGAGGATCCCCATCATGATAGGAGAGTTAATCTGACCTTGAGGGCAATCTTAGAGATGTCACCAGGACTCCTGATGAATAAAAATGAATCTATCTATCTGTCTCTCATCTCCCTAACTGTCTATCTGTCTGTCAATGGTTAGTATCCACAGAGGTTGCAGTTTCTTCAGAATGGCAGCAGATGCTGTCATGGACACTGAACGTGGTCAGCACAGCAGATATGTGATCTCTCTGAAGTGCTGGAAGCTTTCTGAATACATGCCTTGCACTCAGAGTTTGCTGGGCTGAGACCAAGGGCCCTCTGCCTCTGCACTACACTTGAACAAAGAGTCAAGCTTCAATCACCATGTCTAAGCCACTTGACGTGACTAGACTCTCTTGACAGCAAAGACAGAAAAGGCTGTAACTGTGAAGCACTGGTAAAACCTGAAATATATCACATGATAAAGGAGGAAATAATTGGGAATAAATGCAGCAAAGTTTATGTCATCTCTTTTTTTAGCTGCTTTGGCTGTTTATATATTGAAGAGTTTATAGTTCCAAAAGAGTCTCATGGCAATTCTTAATTGGTTTTTATGTTTTGCCAAATTGGTGGCTAATTTGTATGAATTTCATTCTTATGTTTTTATACGACATGCTTACACGATCTGGTGGTTAGGCTTAGGCATGGACTCTCATGATTTCTTTCTTTTTCTTTTTTTCTAAAAAGCATGCATTTTCATTTTTGTACAAATCAAATTGTACAAATTCATATGAAATGGCCATCTAGTGAAATACTTAAGACTTTAATCAAGTTTAATATGACTTTTTAGTGTGTGTTGTGAGAAGACTCCATTGAAACTTTTTTATTTTAACTTATTTGCTCATTTTTACCTTTTTAGCTTAGGGATTACTACTTAAGGATTTCAATATTTCATTTAAAAAATCTAACAGGGAAAGTCAAAACATCCTGACTTGCATAAATACTCATATATGAATACTCTTTTTAAACTGATGAGCAGACAACCGACAATTTCAAATATCTACAGATTTAGTTATATATCCATCTGATTTCAAGAAGGTCATATTTCTTGCTATGTCTGACACACAATGCTGTGGCATGTTGATGTTAACAATCTTGCCAATATGGCTCCAAGTTAAAGACTAGACTTAAGTTAAGGAAAGGAATGTTTTGTTCCCCCGTCATTCACAGTAACAGCCCTTTAGATGACACAGGGGATCAAAACACTGCCCTGAATACATTTCACTCATTCATTTCAAGATGACAGAACATCACAACACACTCCTGAGGGTGTTTTCCATTTTTAGCCCAATGGACAGTGGAGGGCTTGAAGCATTGATCTCTGTTTGAACAAGCTCCAAACTGACTGATTGATTTATTTTTTATTTTCCATTTTTTTATTTTCATAAAATGTTTGTATCTTTCATCATTTAGCATTATTATTAACATTTTTAAAAAGTGTTCATCTAAAACACAGTTTTTAATCATCAATTCACAATTTGAGGGCCTGTAGACACATCTAGGATAAGATTGTGGACCAAGACAGGTTTTAGAAGCGTGTGTGCTCTCTTCAGATAGAAAGGGCAAGAGATTAAAGAGGGAAGAAAAAGACAGAAAAAAGCAGAGGCAGTAGGAGGGGGTGAGTGTGGGAGGGGAGATGAAGAGTGACGGAGGAGGGTTAGAATGGAGAATTAACACTGGCATTACCACAGGAAAGGACGGAGCAGCCTGACCAAATCTGGGGGACCTTACATTACGTCAGACGAGGGCCCCGGAATGAGCAGAACAATATTTTTTGAGGTAAGGCATCAAGTTAATTAACAAGATTACATGTTTTTGTACAAACTTTTAACTGTGGGTGTGGAGGACAATGAATTGTGTTAAAAGACTAAAAAGCCTCATTCTCATAGTCAAAAGGCAAAGAGCAGATCCTTCATTGTGTGTGGGTTTACTGAGCTATACTTTAGAGACAAATTTGAAGATGTATTTCAAAACATGCAGATAGTTGTCAGGCCGTTGTTAGGCGTTCTCATTAGGTTTATTCAAGATTTTAATTTGAACAAATCCGTGATCTAATCATAAAGATGACTGACAGTAAAAGTGCTATGTTACTATATGTTAAGCTAAATAAACACAATTTAAGTTTAAGCATTTTTTAAGTTTGTTGAAAATCAATCATCAGTTCCTCAAATTGGGTTTTTATACTGTAAGAGCAAATTTGCTGTACGCCGGTTTGCTTTAATTTTACACTTGCTGAACATAAACAAATAAATATAATTCAGCACATAACCGACAGGCCTGTCATCTGTGGAGGATTAATGACCCTCTCAGGCATTTCCACTGCCTACTGTAACACCAACAGAGACTGCTGTGCTATTGATTAACACACACACACACTCTATAATCTAACATTAAACAACTTCAAATTTAAATGTTCAGAAATCAAACATTCAAATGTCCTGAACTGGAGTAAGAAGTAAACAAAGAAAGAAAGAAATGGAAAAACCTCAAACAAAACAAAATCTTTCAATGTAGATACAGAATTATGTTATGTTTTGAGCCTGGTACAGTCCTCATGATTACCACTGTACTCGGTGGGGGGGATGGGTATAGCAGAGGCAGGACGTCCTGTCAATAGCACTCAGAAATTCAGAGAGTGCTTTTATTGATTACTCTGCCTGATTGAAAGCAGGACAGGTTTACTGCATAGTCTTTATAAATGAATATAACGATGAGTAAGTCACATATATCACTATATAAGAAATGTACACATATAAAATATAAATTATATGCAATAGATAGATGCCTTGGCATAAAAAGTGTAAGAGTTTCGAAAAACTCCTTGTTGAATTTAGACAAGTGGATCAGCATCAGGTGCAACGTGCACAAGAATGATCCCAGACATCCCCATCTGCAGAATAACCTCAACCATTCCACTGGGATTCTTTCTTTAAGTTGAGCATTAGGCTAATCCTGTGTGTCCATTAGACGATTATTACACACTAGCCAGTATAAGAGCAGTTTCAGGTTGACAGCTCTGCTGAGCTCCACAGTATGTAGTGCTTTCAAGGCAAATTGCAGCAGAGCCAACTCACAGCGTGTACTCTATAGATCAACGCTGACGCCTTTTAATTAAGATTAAAAAGATCCCTGTACTGCAAACCTTGGATGCATCCTTGGATTTCAGAGCTCAGACTGGTCAGAAACAGACAATGGTGGAGATTCAATGTTTGTTTTTGGGATGATTGATGAAGTGAATACAATGAGCTAAGCAGGGACAGAGCTGACAAAACAGAAGCTCTGATCAATATAAACAGCGCCTCGACTGTGCCGTCCTCATTAGGTGCTCATGGGCTTCTCGGATACACTTGGAAAACTGTGTCAGAATGAAACCGTTTTGGGTGTTCACTCACAGCACGTTTTTTGTGATCACTCAAGGGGAAACATGTTGCAAATTATTCCTAAACTCTACTTATTTCCTATTAATATGAAACTATGTTAACAGCATATTATTGCCTTTCTTGGTTGTCAGTTTTGTGATGCATCTCTGAAGCAGAAAATTCTG